AAATACTGTACGGAAAAACTTATAACTAATTAGAATGAGACATAAATTATTCTTAATAGAAAAGAAACACAATTTATAAACCGAAATATAAATAATATACGAAAGATTTTTAAAGTTTAAAATAAAATATAAAAATGAAAAGGATGAAACCAAATAACACATTTATGAGGCAACAAAGAACTCAATGATTCCTGCAAATCTTAGCATATAAACAAAAATATTTTAATTAAAATTTTCAATTTAACAACATATTAAATTACTGAACTGCAGTAACAGCAGTAGTGATACCAGGGCAGTTGAAAAGTTCGCGGCCTAGGATACTTAACGATGAGTTGCTTGTTACTCATGTCACTAGTTGCAACACTCAGTAGTATTATAAAAGCAAAATTAATAATAAAAGGTCGCTGAAAAAAATTTATCTTTCACAACACTAACACGTTAGTTTCGAATCACTGTCACGGTGCGTATGGATTAAACTCCCGTCCATGTTGACAAACAACCACGTTCCGTCTCCGTCCCGTGCACGTTATGATTCCGTCCTGTATGCAGCGACCTTTAGTTTGCACTCATAGTGTGGCGGCGCTGTCGTCGCGCCACAAGCGAAACACTTTTCACTCCACGAGAAACGAGACGTAAACGAGAATAGAGGTGGATGTCTATGGGCCGTAGTAACTACTTACCATCAGGTGGACCGTGTGCTCGTTTGACTCCCTATCCTATAAAAAAAGAGAAAATTTTAAGAGTTAAAGGCAATGTATTCGAGTTGTGAGAAATGTATTTCACTTGCGGGAGATCATATAGAAAAATTAAACAATACAATAGAAACCATATATTTTATTTCATTAAGTACCTTAGGCCGCGGACTTATCAGCCGGCCCTCGTACTAATAAAAAAGTTCTTTCAGCATTTTTCGTGTTGAGAAATAGTTTGATTTTTATTGACCGGCCGGTGTGTCATGTGAATTAATTTTATTGTTCAATAGTACTCATGTTTTAATCCATATAGTTCCGGATAACAATCACCTATTAGAACCCTATTGAGTGACCACCCGTTACGCAAATAAACAATATAAAAATAAAACACAATATCTCTATAATATACAATACGCTTAACAGGCACCTTGAATGCTCGTACATGAAGTCAATAAACAAATGACAAATAATAAATATAATTAAACGTTTCCCTCTCTGTTATTTCCTGAGCTGTTTTACCACCTTTGTGCCCTGATACAATCTCTATGTATGCTTAAGTAATTTCATTTGGAATCATTCATTCTTTCATTGAAGCGACAGTAGCCTAATGGCAGGGCGCGGTTCGCGAACTCAAAAGGTCGTGGGTTCGAATCCGCCATTTGACTACTGTCGTGAACCACTCCTAACACAAGCATTTTCAAGCTTACCAGGAGTGGTTAAAAGGAATATTAGTAATGTTAATTAATAAGATTACTAATATTTAAAAAAAATTACTTGCATTCATTTTTAGCAACACACTTGTCTTGCACTGTTAAAACTTAAACAATTTGACGCTTAATCGAGAATCTTATAGAAGCTGAGACGATAACAATTGTTATTGACCACACTTCATAATCTTTGAGAAAACTAAACGTCCACATAATATCTATACAAATACAAATAAATAATATTGAAGTGTCTGTAATGCGAAAATAACAGCTTTTTATTAAATACATATCAAAGTATATACGGTACTTATAACAAAATCGCAATTTTTAAAAAATTTGTCTGTCTGTTTGTTTGTTTGTTACGGCTTATCTCGGTAACGGCTGGACCGATTTTGACGGGACTTTCACTGGAAAATAGCTGATGTTATAAGGAGTAACTTAGGACTTATACTTTAGAAAAATAATTGGGGTTCCGCGCAAAACAATTTAAAATCCTAAATTACACCCGGCGAAGGCGCGGTGGAACAGCTAGTTTCTGTAAATTAAAATATCACGTGATTGATTACCATAAAACAAGGTTCATTCTCCATCAATATCCTTAATCTCAACATTACTTAGCGTAACAACAGCCCTTACATAAACTAAATATCAGATAAATTTGATACTACGTCTGTCTCTCCCCTACTTGTTAAAACGCAAGTAAGAGAGTTGCCAATAATATAGATATAAATATATAGATAAAATTAATTGCTATAAGAGCCATATTTTCATTACTATATCATTATCATAATTGGGCTATTTAACCAATGGGTATGTCATAAATTAATGGAATGTGTAAAGTGAGGTATTCTACTGTGCTAAAATTGTACTTTAAATAACAATTAATGACTTGATAACTATTATATGTATAGTACTTTTATTCATAATAACATTAAAATTAAGAAAAACTTTAAAAAACCCACATTGATCATGAGCTGTGATGATTTTAGAGACAATTATCCCGGTGATCCTGATCAGGATTCTAGGATAAAGTTTTTAAATTATTGTATTCTCATTGATCCTTGATACGAGTGCAGTTTCAAGGCGATATACAAGTTGTTGGCAAGTGCTAAAATTTAAAATTTTGTATAACCGACTTCAATAAACATAAACCGAAAAGTTATGCCCGAATTTACGTGCATGATTACAGGTACCCCAATAACAACTTTGACAGAAATGAGGGTGTACCGTGGTATACTGAACACGTCTGCGTACCCTTTTAGAGGGTACAGGCGTGACGTTATGTTGTGTGATCAGGATCGTTCGAACGATCGTTGTCTGTCTCCAAAATTCATCATCAGATCTTTACGGAGGTTAAATGGGATCATTTCGGAATAAACCTCGTTCGAAACAAAAAAAAATAAATTTGCAAAACCGTCCATATATGACGAAATTTTGCCCGAACATACATAAATAAATATATAAGCCGAATTGAGAACCTCCTCCCCTCCTACATTGAAGTCAGTTAATAATTATATTAAAATATTCTGGTACCTAGATAGATAAATACACGTGAAGCTAATAAAACCGTGTTAAAAAAAGTTGCACGGTTAAGCCTAATTATTATTAGATAATACTTTTAACAGCCGACGATTCGCCCGAGCGGGTAGGGAGCGGTGTTATCGCATATAGACAGCGATGGATTTGGGAGGCCTATTTGTTATGCATCGCGCTACCTTAAGTCCGTCAAAAAAGAGATTCAAATCCAGTAGGAGGCAAATGGAACATTCGTATGAGACGTCTCCATTTATTGGAATATAAATGGAGCACTTTTCGGTCCATACAAAGGTTATCTGGAAGTTTATAAAAATGTATTCCGTAAATTAAAGATACTACGTAGATATGCGTTATTTCTTAATAGACGCAATTATTGAATTGAACGCATTCGTAGCCGTGGCATTGACATTTATGCAGATTCGATGCTCGCGGCATTTTTAGCAAGCTTGTCTAACTTCGCGGGTAACAAGTTGAACAGGCACGATTCAGGTGTACGCACCGTTGCTAAACTTATTCCGCACATATTAGGTACATTAACTTTGTAATAGACGGTATCCCTTCTGTCACGGGCAACATATTACGCAATATAACGTGTAAGAAAAAATAAATAGTGTAAAAATATGAATCTCGGTAGATGTATGATTGAACGTAAAGCCTTCCTTTTTATGTGCAAGACAGAAAAGAATGCCTTTCTTAAGGCGTTGGGAGAAGCGCTGAAGTAAACTGAAAATAGTCACATCATTATAAAAGATGCATAAGCAGCGTCTCGAACGCCTGACCTCACTCAGGCCTGAATTACAGTCACAACGAAGTGAAGACCAAATTAAAGATGTTATCGATAAATATTAAATAATAATTTATTTAAAATCATGGCTGTTTGGTTTCACAGACATTATTGCCGAACATTAAGGTGCTATCACTAGAAATTTGGGAACCACTAAAACTACTTCAGGGTTTTATAAATATGACTATTAACATATAATAATCGCAAGGTTACTATAAAATAGTTAACTATTAAATATACACACCTTATGACTTCTGATAGTTGATACTAACTACAATGTTCGGGAGCTTAGATTTTACGAATTTCTAAAGAGGATATAAATATATTATATATATACACACCATCACAAAGTCCATCGAGAGCTTTTCATTTTTACTATGTTCAAATTAAGGAAACTTATATTATATTCTGTTATTCTCTTCTTTATAAAAACCTACCTACTCTAAGTATGTATATCTATACTTGGGAACAAGTTATGAAATAATAATCAATACATAATACTTAACATAAAAGACAATTAGCATAGAGAATTTTATATGGATTAAATGATGCAGTATGATACTGTATTTAAAAAAATGTAAAAGCTAATTCGAATAAAACACTAAGAAATATTGGTTATATTCTTTTTGTTCATAAGTATTTGAATTTTGTTATAATTTTTTCCTGTGATAATTTTTGTTGAATTAAGTAATCGATATATTTTAACAATGTAGTCACAGCACTAGTACTCTTCATTACATATTATAGCCGATGAGCGATCCTTTAATAAGAATAATATCTTCGAGAATGTGTTAATAAAGTAGCGTTATAAGGCACTGTTACATTATGAGAGAGATAAAAAAATATTGCTTACAAGTACTTAAATATTTAGTTTAAATGTCTGAACAGTAAATTTATTTAATATGTGATCCATTCAATATATAGTACTCGAATCAATAATTAACATGTAACTATTTCCCTGAACACAAATGGAGAATGAACCGATAAATGCACACGTTTGGTATATTATTAAAACCTACACACAAATTAATTCTGATATCAGTCGAAAGTTGTTCGAACACGCAGCCTAAATACCAAAACAACTAAACGGGTATAAAACGATACATCTCTATTATCAACAACACATAAAAATAAGGAACAAATATTGCTTTTAATTAGCATTATTACACATAGAAAGCATCCGTTTCAGCAACCCCAAGTTTCTTGTTCGTGACAGTTTTGATGTTTCCGAGTTTGGCATCGAGAAAGCTGTGATATCATCGATGGTCTTTCATACTTTACCTACACGCTGTACAGGTAACTCTCTAGCTTCGTTTTAGGAGACGGTTGCGTGAATGGCGAAAACCATAAAATAGAAAAACGTCCAAATACTGATTGTATGCTTTTCCATCGCGATTTTCGTACCCAGCGTGCTTGTTCCTTTTTCAATTGTTCGATGCCCTAAAAATTATTAAGTTTTAATTTTGCGTCGGCTTAAAACAAAAAATTATAGAATTTTTTTAAAGTTATTATTTAGTATTGAATTTACCACTCGAAGAAATAATTCTTCATTTTTTAAAATCTGACAATTTAAGTAGGGTAGTTCAGATTAGTTATAATTTACATATTTTTAAAAATGTCATAGAGCAGTACCAAGGAATTCCTCACAAAAAAAAATTCAAAACAAGCAAACATGAATTATTTAGAAAAATATTACATTTGAAAAAAAACATTACTTAGAAACAGAGTAAATGTGCATGAGTTTTAATGTGACATAATATAAAAAAAATTATAATTTTGTTAAAGCAAATTACTTTATGTCACATTTAACGTTTTACGGCCATGTAAAATCATCACCATCCTCGGCGTCGACATATCGAGTGACGTGCAGTTTCGTGGTCACTTGGAAGAGAAGGCCAAATTGGCCTCTAAAAAGCTTGGCGTGCTCAGCAGAGCGGGACAGTATTTCATGCCGGCACACCGCCTACAACTTTACAAGGCGCAGGTTCGGCCGCACATGGAATACTGTTCCCATCTCTGAGCTGGGGCTCCCCAGTACCAGCTCCTTCCACTTGACCGTATCCAGCGCAGAGCGGCTCGAATCGTCGACGACCGAGTGTTTTCCGATCGGCTCGATTCACTGGCACTGCGAAGAGATGTTGCATCTCTTTGCATTTTCTTTCGCATATACCATGGAGAGTACTGTGAGGAATTGTTCGGATTAAGCCCAGCCGCCAAATTTCGTGAACGCACCACGCGGCAAACGTCGCGATACCATCCACATCATCTTTCCACCACTACGTTTCAAGAGGAGTTTTCTTCCGCGTACAACCTCTCTGTAGAATAGTTTACCGCCAGCGATTTTTCCGGACCGATACGACCTGGGAACCTTCAAGAAAAGAGCGTACTCCTTTCTAAAGGGCCGGCAACGCACCTGCGATTCCCCTGGTGTTGCGGTTGATCATGGGCGGTGGTAGTCACTTAACATCAGGTGAGCCGCATGCTCGTTTGCCCCCTCTTCTATAAAAAAAAAGAAAATGTAGTGGTGGTGTAAGAATATCCACTACCCCACAACATCCCGAGGGTGTCGTAAGAGGCGACAAAGGGAAACAAATCAGGCATTTTTCTAATAAACTAAAAATAAAAAACTGCGGCTGTCAACCCATTTGCCAAGCCTGGCAACTATGGCAAATATGCCTCCTATGAGGCAATCTATATAATCTAATACAAATCAACACACAAAGTCTCTGACCAATACACAGTAGTCGGGCCGGTATAAGGAGTGCGCGTCGTTATCCCTAAATTATTTCCAAGTCGGGCTGACGGTCGGTGCCAGAGATCAGCGTCACGAGATTATCTATGCATTTCCTTTATTAAAATTGTAAAATCATCACCTCTCTTTTTTATAACAATGAAGTGACAACCGGACTGACAGTCCACCTCATGGTAAGTAGCCACTATAGACCATGTACACCTGAAGCCAACTACAAACAAAAAAGACTGCGCATGTGTTGTCAGTTGTGCGGACTTAGAATGCCTCGCAGGTATTGCAATTGTTCTGGCTGTCCACACAGTGTAAGCAATGTGGTATTTTTCCAGTATAAGGGGTTTTGCGGCAAAAATAGAAATAGGATGGTGATACCCAGATAAACTCCCAGGTATAAAGTGACTCTTGGTACCCAGAAAATTGTCTTATAGACATAAAACAATGAGAGATTACCTGCCTTGAACCCTTAATTACTAACGTGATGGGCAATATTTTTGTTATCAAGCTCGAAAAATAGATGATCGCTTCTTTAACTAAGTTCCTACACCTGAAAATACTTACAATCTTCCACCATATCTACAATAGCACATAGATAAAGACATTAAACCTCTATGCTTGCAAAACTCAAATCAGTGAGTAACTTTCCGAACATGTACAAACATAAGAGAGAGAACTCGTACCTTATAATAAATTCGAAGTTATATTTAGTAGCTGTATTTCGTATTCTTTTTATCCTTAACATCGACCTGTATAAGGCCACGCTGAACGTGGGTATTTACCGTTGAAGTTATTCGCTTTAATCATCACGCTTAGCAGGCAGTGGGTAAGTTGGCGGTGTAGGTAATTTTATGTCTGCTATAAATGAGGTTTTAAGGTTTGGTTAGGTTTGGTTGAGGTGTTAATTATACAGCTCGAACTCTGCTCAACTTTAAGATGTTGTTAAGTCTCATGCTGACTCTATCACTTTAAGTCAAAAGGACTGTGACACTTAACGGCGGCCAAAGACTTAACGGCGTCTTGAAACTACGTAGCGTTTGAGTATTTGGCCATATTATAGCTAAAATAATTTTCTAGCATTTCCAAGAGCCGCCTCTTACATCACCTGCAGGACGAGATGGGATGACATGGATTTTCTTACACCAGCAACACAAGGGATATATTTTTTTATACAATAAGGGTGATAAACGAGCACGCAGTCGACTAGATGGTAAGTGGATGCTGTGGCATGTATCCTCGATTAAGAATCAAAATGCAGATGCGTTGTCACCCCTGAGAACTAAGATGGAATGCCTAATTTCCAGTAAAAAAATCTACACTCACCATACGAACCACAGCAGTATTAAGCTATTCTTTTACGCTGGTATTACGGGAGAGCGTGGTCCTTCTCCGGTCAAACCGACCTATTAGTGCTACAACCATAATATAGCTGCAGCGTGGCTCTACCGCATATGATATTAGAGTAGTATAATGATTATATTCATTGTACACATAAGTATGTGCGTGTGCGTGTATGTACAATATAATTTTATTCTTCCTCTTTTAAGGTTACGGAAGGATTTTCTCAGGTAGCATGGAGGTGTTATTTATTACAGAAATTTCATAGGACAAGCATCAATTTTTCACTTACAGTCTCATCATTCCATATTGCGTGTAACTGGGTCCCGAGCATGACAGCGGTGAAAATAGCGAAAAGCAGCGCTTCCGCAATAAGGAAAAGCAGTAGGACGACCGTCGCTGGTGGAGAGTAAGCGCTACAGTCCCGCCATTCGTGCTTGATGCAGGTAACGAATTGGTACACCGCCAAAGTCAGAGAGTGGATGGATATCGCCGCAATGTAAAACTGAAAAAAAAATGTGTACCTTGTGTACTTGTTATTTTACATATATGAGGGGATTTGCCTTGAATAGTGATCCATATGAATTTAAGATCTAATGCAATTCTTAACAATGTTCCACATAAGTGCCATAAATGGATCTAAGCCATTTACCGCCTTATTCCAAAACACGAACTAAATATAATACCGGGGTTAGGTACTAGGTTTAAAACATGAACTAAATAAAACGTTATTATAAAACGAAGATTATCTCTAGTTCAAGGATTATCTAAGGTACTAAAAATAAACTTTCGAAAAGAGGTCGTGTAAGTACTAACGCCAATTTCCGTACTTATTTATTTGTGGTTAACGATTTTGAATACATGAAATGAAAACAACGGTATCATTTCGTGTTTTAAAATCGTTAAAAATGGATATAAACATGATTGACTAGGTAGATTTAGAAGATTTGAACATACTAGATACGACTAGGCGACCTGATAGACATCGTCATCGTGTGAGTCCGTTTGAATTGGGTGACGAAGATTTTGTTTAACAGTTTTCCTGTCCGCAAAATAGGCGCAATAGTTAAACAATAAAAAAGGCAGAGAAACGTTTAACTGTGTCGATGCACCTTCTTCATTTTAATGAAATGAAATGAAATGAAATGAAGATTTATTTGCTTTGAAAAAGGTTACATTAAGGTGGTTATTACAAAGTATAGTACAGCTTTTTCAGCCATCAATGGATAGCATGCAAATACATTTTTTATTATTAAGATTATTTAGTGTTTTATTAAAATAGCGAATTTAATTAAAATATATCATAAAATAGTCATCATTTAGAAATTATCAATACATAATACCAATACATACAAATTTAAAAATAATTAAAATTGAAAATGCAATTAAAAATATATAACTACTGTTGTGTCACATCATGTCAAATTTAGGTAGTCATTCACATTATAAAAACAATGATCATTTAGCCACCTGTAAAGGGCGCCTTTAAATCTATTAAGGGGCAAGTCTTTGATATGTCGGGGTATTTTATTAAATATGAGCATACACATCCAGAAACAATTTTTTTTAAACCGAGCACTCTTGGGTATAATTTCAGCAGCAAGTCTATTGCCATTTCTGGTATTTTGCGTATAAACCTCTTTTGCTTGTCTGAAATAATACATGTTTTGTTTTACAAATTTTGCAATTTCAAAAATGTACAGGCATGGGAGTGGTAGTATTTTTAGAGATACAAATAGCGGCCTGCAAGGCTCATCAGGTGCAGCGCCACATATTGCTCTAATACATTTTTTTTTTTGGGCAATGAATGCCTTTTTTTGCATCTGTGCTATTGCCCCATATAATAAGCCCGTATCGCAGTACGGATTCCACATATGCAAAGTACGCAGTAAGTGCTGTATTTTTTGTGGCTACTTTGCTTAGTTTATAAAGTGCGTACGAAAATCTATTTACTTTTTTACATACATGTTCAACTTGACATTTCCAATTTAGTTTTTGATCAATCCATATACCTAGGAATTTTGTCATATTTGTACTTTTTAGTGTTTGTCCTTCAAAATTAATGTTCATTGTAGCGGCGCTGTCGTCGCACCACAATCGAAATACACCGAAGTCTAAATCACGCTATCAACATTCCGAATCAGAAACAGTATATAGTACTGTGGCCGTGGAAAGAAAAGGGGGAGATCTCCCGCCGGGCAAGGTGTTCTGCCCGGGGGAGCGGCTCACACTCAATGTGATAGTTCGGAGATGTTCTATATATACTGTTTCTGATTCGGAATGTTGATAGCGTGATTTAGACTTCGGTGTATTTCGATTGTGGTGCGACGACAGCGCCGCTACATCACCCCCCTGCTCAGACCGGAGGTCGATAGTGCAGCCTCGTTGCCGACGAATGTGCAAGTGCCAGGAGATTGCCTTGTAGTCTGCGGTGAGTCGAGAAGAAGGCAAGTAATCTGCGAGAGTGCCGTGAAGCAGAGGCGAGCAGTAAGGCTCAGAGCCGTGCCGAACACTGTATGGCGCAGAGAGTAGCTTGAAGGAACAGGAAGCATTATTATTCCAGTGCTGCGATGAACCTTGTGAAGCTAGATGGCTTGCAGGATATGAAGACTGCAGACGATATCTGTTCGGGAGCGAATGGGTGGGGTATTCTATGACGATGATGAAGCTTGAAGTTTCCGAAGGTTGTTTGGTTGCGTGTATTCAAGATCACGTCGGGGTCACCACTGTGGCCGTGGAAAGAAAAGGGGAGATCTCCCGCCGGGCAAGGTGTTCTGCCCGGGGAGCGGCCAACACTCCATGTGATAGTTCGGAGATGTTCTATATATACTGTTTCTGATTCGGAATGTTGATAGCGTGATTTAGACTTCGGTGTATTTCGATTGTGGTGCGACGACAGCGCCGCTACATTCATTGTCTGGTATAATATGTCATTAAAATTTATAAAATAAGTTTTGTCAAGATTTACAAGTAGGTTGTTATTTTTAAGCCATTCTATTATTGTTTTTACAGTACTGTTAATATCATTAATGTGATCTTTAAGTGATTGTTTACCATCTGTTTTTACTATTACAGATATGTCGTCAGCAAATAAAATGCATTTGTGTTTAGTTACATCCGGAAGATTATTTATATATACTAAGAACAACAGTGGTCCCAAAACGCTACCCTGTGGAACTCCATATTTGTTTTCTTTAAAATCTGATTTGTGATTTAGGACCACATGATTACTGTCTGGTTTGCTTATTTCAACAGATTGACGTCTATTTTGCAAGTAACTTTTAATCCAACTTAAAGCAGTGCCTCTAATGCCACATTTTTCCAATTTTACCAGTAATGAATTATGTGAGACAAAATCGAAAGCCTTCGACATGTCAAAGAAGAGTGCAGTTGTATAATTATTAGCATTAAGGCACGTTAGTGTCTCATTTACCATATCGAAAACAGCATGTGTAGTAGATTTTCCCCTCTGGAACCCATACTGAGTGGGATTCAGGACATGATACTTGTCAAAGAACGATGTGAGTTTAGTATGCATAATTTTTTCATATACTTTTGACAAAATTGGCACGAGCGCAATAGTGCGGTAATTATTCAAAATTGATTTTTTGTCTTTTTTGAATAAAGGCTTAATCAAGGAAAATTTAAGTTTATCAGGAAAGATACCAGAGATTATTGATAATTTTATTAAAAATGCCAAAATTCTGCCTATTTCTTTGTTGCATGCCTTAATTACTTTAGTACAAATGCCGTCATACCCTTCTGAGTCACTATTATTCAAGGTCATTATTACTTTATTTATATCATATTCGTCAACAGGGTGTAGATAAATAGAATTATTTAAAATTAGATTGGCTTTATTTTTTGGTATATTATTTTGGATATCTTTGTTTGTCAATTCAATGAAGAAATTATTAAAAGTATTTGCGATTTGTGTAGGAATAGTAATAAATTTGTTGTCATATTCAATAAAGTCAATGTGGTTATTATATTGCGGCTTGGTATCTATTTCATCCTGTATGACCTTCCAAGTAGCTTTGCAAGTATTTTTGCTGTTTATCACATATTTATTATTAGTTATTTTTTTAGAAGACTATTGATTTCCTAATAAAGTAATCATGGGGCAGGAATCGATAATTTGTTAAGGATTTTAATTAAATTTTAATTATGACAATGTAGTCTTTTAAATTCGAAAAAAAAACTTGAATAGCGAACAGAGTGAGCAAAGATAACGCAGTTTCTAGACGAAGCTCCCTTAATTTTGAGACAGGTAATTATGCGATTTCTGATTTGACTATCTAGATTGTTTCATCGAGAGCTTGTTCATCAGTTTCTTGAGAATGTACTTCTGCAGTAATTGTCGTCAGACCTCAAGAAGCTGTAATGCAGTTGCTCTTGACTCAATTTGTGCTTGGAACGTGACTTAGCCGCCTCCTTTGGATCCAATCATGCGACAATTGATTGCAATTATACAGAATCCACTTATTACCCAAGTGACAGTCCAATTCAATTAGCAAGTGTTTTTCATTTGCGTGCCTCATCGTCGACAACGATTTGAGTTTGCTGTCTATGCAAGATAATCAATATTTTTTTAGTGGTTTAAAGGTGGTTTTCAATTTGTCGTTGAGGTCGAAATGTTTAAAAGGAAGCAACCAAACCACAACATGCAGTGCGACAGTGCGATAGTTTATTTGTAGGCTGCATTTTGACTGCATTTTAAATTATTTAAGCTTAATCTATGCAGCATTGACGACACAACGGGACCCATATTCGAAATAAGCACGATTAAAAAAATACATGAAAGCCGACACAGACCACAATAATACAAATAAAATGAGAACATCATCAATGTAATGCAAGTGCAAAATGCAAGTCATTTTACCGTTATTTTTTTCCAAGAATCTTAAAGTTATTTTGTTAAAATATAGCCCAGTTCCATCCTGATATTGGTCTCTATCAGTTTGTAAAGTTTTACCAAAATTGGTTCAGCCATTTTGAAGTGTAGCCCAGACAGGCAGACAGGTATTTTTTTAAATGGTTATTGATGTCTTATTTGCATGCAAATGTGTTTCATTAATAAATAAAAACCTGTATAAGTTATGCAGTCGATCCACTAAGACCATAAGTTTTTTGACAGTAAATATTTACTTATCACTCTGGATTGAAACTAAAGAGTTGAAATTACTACTTACCGTGAATAGCACAAAATATTTCTGATTGTTCTCGCCCACGCAATTGTTGACCCAGGGGCAATGGTGATCCATCTTTCTTATACATCGCTGGCAAACAGAGCAGTGGTGGGCCCGCTCCGGTTTTATGCTGCAGCATTTTGTGCATTTGAAAATCACTTGTCCCTCGCGGAAACTCATCTGCTTTATCATCTCCTTCGTCGCGTTCCCTTTTGGTACTGCGCCCTGTTGGAAAGAACCACCAATAAAGTTGTTAAACAAACGAACCTACAGAGGGAAATTGATGCAGGAGATGGGCAGCAGCATCTAGCTGTTAACTCAAAATTAAAAAACTTCGGGTGTGAGTCAACTATGCCAAGTATGGCACCTGTGACTATATCTCCCCTATGAAGCAAATCTATGGAAGAGGCCTGTGTTCAGCGGTGGACCTTTATAGGCTGTAATGGATGGATGAATGACAATTTGTGACAATGATTTTAAAAAAAAAACAAGAGAAGCTTTCCAAGTGAACACTGACTGAGGTTATTTGCGATGTAATAATTTATGGGCAGATAAAATCAACTATTTATTATTTAAAAAAAATACACGTCACCCTAATACCCTAATTAATACATAAATAATTTAACAAAATCACCATCATCATTATCATCTAAGCCCTTCAAAGTCCACTGCTGAAATGTTTCTCTCAGAGCACGATCCTGATCCGCCTGCATTAATCGGCTTCCTGCATGTCTTACTAGGTCATCTCTCTATGAAGTGACGGGCTACAAAATGGCAGAATGTACTCTTCGGTCTTCCGTACAGTTTAGCAAAGTAATATGTATATGGGCAGCAGTAGTAAAACCTTTTTGGAGACCAGATTGTTCAGGAGGCTGAAAGCCGTCAAGTCCGCATACGTGACGAATCGTAATGACTCTCGAAAACTGCAAATAGATGCCACTCAGAAGGGAAATCAGTCTGAAGTTCTTTAATAGAGAGTTGTTGCTTTACGTGGAGAATTAGACCACACATATAATAAAATAATAACCATATGACGAAATATCAATCATCAATACTTTTTGTCAGTCTCATTAACCGATTTTTATGTACTAAAGGGATGGCTCAACTGAAGCTAGACCACGCTCTCATAGAGTACCAGCGTGAAATAGCAGCTTAGTACTGCTGTGTTTCGTTTTGTGAGTGTAGAGAACCAGAGACACTAGTTACTATATTTTTACCTGTAGAATCACGCTGCAGCTGTATTATGGTTGTAGGGAAACCAGGGGTACGGGGAAGTACCACGCTCTTACAAAATATCAGAGTAAAAAAAGTATCTAAACGCTGCTGTTTCGTATGGTAAGTGTAGAAAACCGGAGACCCTTTTATCTGAAAACGAGGCATTCCATCTTAGTCCTCACGGTCGACAACGCACCTGCATTTTGACTCGTAATCGACGATAAATGTAGATGTACAGCAACCACTTACCATCAGGTGGACTGTGTGCTCGCTTGTCACGCTTATCCTATAAAAGAAACCCAATTCCATCCTATCCTAATGATATCCTTTCTCAGGGATGACAATGTGTCTCCATTTTGATTCTTATTCGATTATAGATGTATGTCTATAGGCCACACCATCTACTTGCGTGGGATACACTGAAAATTAAGCTTTACTCATAAATAAAACAATTTACATATAAACTATAACGAACATATTTAACATTTTTTTAACTTTATAATATAATATCTAAAAATTTATTTGAACTATACATTTAAGGTAAACGGTAAAATGATTGGCACTTTCAAGTTAACTTCTACTAGTAAGTGGTCAATTCTCGTAAATAAACAAAATATGTAATATTTTTGATTGTTTTGTTAGACTTTAGTTTACACAGCCACAAATAAAATGAGGCATTAAGTTTAAAAAGATATGTTTAATTATTTAAAAAATCTAATCAATCTTTTTCTACATAATGTTACAATCATTGGCACTTCAGCAGAGTGAAATGGCACTATAAATTAAGTAATCATTGGGCACTATTGGAAGTCTTAAAAAGTTATACCCAGATCTTTCTAAAAGTTAAAAAAGTTAAAGTTACAGCCTATATACATCCCACTGCTAGCCCAGGTCTCCTTTCATTTCAGAGGTATTTAGAACAAGTAAGTGTCCGCCGCGCTGCCCCAATGCGTGTTGGCCTTTATATATATAGAGGTGAGTGGTATTGACGAACTTCACATATCTTCGAATTTTTTTATTACTTCTGAGACATGCAGGTTTTTTACGATGTTTTCCTTCACCACCTAGCACGTGGTAAATCAGCACTAAAATTGCAATAAACAATTTCGTTAGTGCCGGCTGGGATCGAACCCGGGTTGCTCGCGTACTGTGAAATTTACGGCGAGCTCTAACCATCTGAGCTAACGGCTCAGATCAGATCTTTCTAAGCTCCATTCTATTGTTATTAGACTTATTTTTAACAAATGTTCGTCAAATATTTTTTTAGATCTTCTATCACGTTTCTTTCTTTCGTTAGACATTATTTCTTGATGTGCCTTTTTTAGTAAAACCTTTCGTGACTTCTCGATATTTTGTAGAATAAACCTTTATTTCGGTTTTTTTTAATCTATTTTCTCTATAAATTCTTCGGTTTTAGTAAAATCTTTCTGTCTTTTAGATATTTTATAGATAAAGCCTAAGGCAGACTCTGTTCGTCCTGTTGCGTATTTGGATGGTTTCCTAAAGTCACTTTAAATGTTTATGCGACTGTTATTCCTTCTCAACTATATACATCCTTTATCAAACTAAAATATGAAATAGGTAAATCATGTTCATTTGCACTGCTGTGGGTAGTGGTAGATACAGTAATTGGCAGTGTCAAGAATAGATTTTCTGATCTCTCAACCTTCGGTACAATTTTATGAAGCGTATATATGTGGTCTATTGTACTAAAGCCTTTTCGGAAACTTTGTTCTTTGCTTGTTCGGGAGGCTGAAAGTAGTCGAGTCTGCGTGCGAGACAATTCGTAATGACTTTTGACTTATCGCCTTTATTGAAGAACGCGACTACCGTACCTTGCTCCACGCCTCCGAAGTAGTGCCGCCATGGAAGACGGAACTAAAGCACTTCTGAATCACTTCAAGCACTTGTTTTCCACCGGCTTTCAGAGGTACCGCTGTAACTCCATCCTCGCTTGGGCCTTGCCGTTTTTAAGGTGCTGGAGAGCCATTCTAAACTCCTTCTGACTGACGTCCGGAATATAATCGGTATATTGTCGAATAAGACTTAGCTCTTGGATCGTTACTTACACTTTTGCGTGTAGCTCCAACAATGACGTGTACAGCTGCCCGTAGAACCTCTCAATCTCACTCGAAATCTCAGGTGGCTCTTTCTGGCAGACAGATCTATGGCAAAGACTTTGGAGCCCAGGTTGTGCTCGATCGCTTCTACAATAAAAGCGATATGCAAGTTGCGTAAGTCCCGCGCATGCATTTGGAGGTCTATCTGTCTGTTCAGTTACCCGCATGCTGTCAAATCTGCTGAAGATTGCAGCTTCATTTTCCGACTAATAGCCATGAGATTAAGATTGTGATCGGAGAGATCTTACAGAACTTAGCTTCGACCGCATGGACAGTTTCCATTTACATTCATATCGTCCACTGCGTTGCAGTCTTCTAGGCACTAAAAACGATTTGGTAACTCGAGCTGAAAGTTTTCGGGGCTTTGGAATATAGCACAAGGACGAAGCATTGACATCATTAGCCGGTGATTGCTGCTAGTGTTCACCCTCGCGATCACTGACATATTACTCAATACCTTGTGCCTAGACTTGCGTTGAAGTCTTCCACTAACGCCATATAGTGTGTCCTGAAGAAATGCATGGCTCTAGAGATATCCTCATACATTTCGTCCACCTCCTCATCTGGACGTGCCAAGTTTGGTGTGTAAACGATCAAACACTTCAAACGGTTTTCTATTAATAATAACGTTTTTTTTTTAAACAAAAGTCTAGAATTATTAAAATAATTATTTGATTTGTTTTATAATCAAATATGTTGAGTTTTATAAAATAATAAATTTTTCGTATTGTATTAAGTTACATAACACATATACTAGGTTGCACTAAAAGTATCGGGAATAGAATATTTCCACTGTTCCTGTCATATTAAAATCTTTTTAATTGAAAACTCCTTGGTTTTAAAAATCAAATACCATTTATTTATTTAAAAAAAAGATTCTCGGTCTTGTCACAAGGTTTTGTCAAACTTGTTTAGTCGTTGAGAAAATGGAATTGACTCGAGAAAATTCAAGAGCGATGATTTATTATGACTTTCGAAGTGGTTTAACACAAAAACAGTGTGTTGACCGGATGATTTCTGAATTTGGTGGTGAAGCCCCATCCAAAACGACAATTTATCGCTGGTTTACTGAATTTCAACGTGGACGTGTCAAGCTCAGTGATGATCCCCGTCAAGGTCGTCCAAAAACTGCAGTCACCCAATAAAACGTTGATGCTGTACGTAAGGTGATTGAGGTAGCTCGACATGTGACATACCGCGAAATTCAGGCAACTTTAGACATTGGCATGAGTCAAATACAAATAATTTTAGGTGTAAAAAAGTTGTTTTCCCGATTGTTACCGTATTCTCTCTATGAAGAGCAAAAAGCGGCTCGCGTTACTTGGTGCGTCAGAACTCTGGAAAGATTCCACGCAGGATCTTCAAATGCTGTAAACAACATCGTATCAGGTGACGAATCCTGGATATATGCGTACGAACCCGAAACAAAAAACCAGTCACAAGTTTGAGTGTTCAAAAATGAGTTAAAGCCAACAAAAATTGTTCGTTCACGGAGTGTTGCGAAAAAAATGGTGGCCACGTTTGTCTCCAACACCGGCCCTGTTACGACTATTCTTCTTGAGGGACAAAAAACGGTTAATGCAGAATGGTATGCTAGCATTCGTTTCCCACAGGTCGTTTCTGAACTCCGTAAAGAGAACTGCAACCGCCGCATCATCCTCCATCACGACAATGCGAGTTCTCACACCGCAAACAGAACAGAAGATTTTTAGAGCAAGAAAACATAGAATTATTAGACCATCCACCGTACAGCCCCGACCTAAGCCCTAATGATTTCTATACTTTCCCTAAAATAAAGAATAAATTGCGTGGACAGAGATTTTCATCACCTAAAGGAGCTGTGGACACCTACAAAACGGCAATTTTGGAGACCCCAACTTCCGTATGGAATGGTTGCTTAAATGATTGGTTCCATCGTATGGAAAAATGTGTCGAATTTAGCGGAGAATACTTCGAAAAGCAATAAATACATTTTTAAATAGTAATGTTGTGTCACTTCCTTGATTCCCGAAATTTTCAGTGCCGCCCTCGTAGATACACTATATTTAGTTTAGTTTTCTATATTTTTCTTGTGTTTTCTCCCCCTTTGGTACATTTTTTAGAAGTGTCACTCCTATAAATTAATAATAATAAAAATATAAAAATAGTGCTGTCACTGAGATCCTATACACACTTTTAAATTGCACTATCAGAAAGGTGAGATCATAACAGTCACCTGGGTCTTTATGAGAATACCTTTTGGTGATTATGAGTATAAGGTACGTATATGCGGCGGTGTGTGAATCCAGTAAGAATTAAGTAAGTCCAAACATACACATCATACGCATTCATTGACTTTATACAGTTACACACAATAGGTAGTTCACACGACACAATAGAAAAGTCAATAGCTATAAAAAAATTAAGGAGTAGAAAAGATTACAGCGATAGTGTTAAGCAAACTATCAAATTAGTCATTTCTTTGCATAGCTGCTCATGGAGGGATACTTCCCATAGTCGTCATGCTTGGCAAGTGGGTTATTTAACGTAATAATTCTGTGATCAGAATGATACTGCTGCCCATCTCCTGCCCCAATTTACCTTTATAGCCTCTTACGACACCCATGGGAAGATATGGGGTAGTGCTTATTCCTACACCGCCATTACACAGGAGACATTAGCATTACTATAATATAATACACTATAATTACCATAATTGGATAAGTTTTAAAGCGAAGATAACAATTATAGAGCATATCTATCTTCTTCATACATGTCTTGTAATAAGCATTCGTAATTAATGAAAAATAGGTATTTAAAATTTATTTACTTACAGGATCAGTAAACATGGTCCTGAGATGGGAAGCAAATGCTAAGAAAGCCAGACTCTGGAACACGACGATATTTATGTAACTGTAAAATGGATATGTGGATAGCCCAGGCAGGAGCATCACCATCATAACCACAAACTCAGCATACATTATCAGTAGCCATGTCAAAACCGCGCAAATGATGCCACATATGTCCTGAAACAATTGCATTATAGATAAAAATATCAGAAAGATTTGAAGTTGAGAAGACTGGCATAATTGGGTTACTAATAAATTGAATAGATATATATATAATATAGCTATATGAAATAGAAAACAGCTATAACGATTTTGATAAAAAAAATTGTGTAGGTTTGAGTGAATCGCTGGATGATGGCGCTGTTGTCAAGATCCATAAATCAATTGGTCCATCCGAGGTAGATAGCTGGTAATTATATAATTTATGAACAAATATGATCGATAAATGAAAGTATTTTAATTTTTCTATTTTATTTATGTATGTAACAAATTTCTTAGCCATGCTTAGACAAAAGTAAAAAAACTAAACTATTCCTATCATGTCTACATGCAAACTTATGTGTGTATTTATAAATTTAAATGTATTCATCATGTTGAGGGAGGCAGTTTAAGACAATTCATCACCTCATTTTGTACCGTGAGTGACATAGGAGGTAACTATAGAAAATGATAAAAAATATCTTATTTATGCTAGACATGTGAGGTGTTCCATTTTATACTCAGATGTGATATTTCGTCTTTAACATTGGGTGCGTTTGGCAGAAAAAAGCGCTAGCAAGCGCTTATAAGCGCTAAAATAGTTTTCGGCCAGGACACGATTGCTACTTCAGTAGCGCTGACACAATCCGCCATTTTGCTTATTTAATTTGTTTGTTTTGAAGTAGAGTTTATAAGTTGTTTTGTGCAATATTAGTTTTAAGTAATATAATGACATGAATAAACATATACATGCTATTAAAAACTCATGATTGGTAAGTTTTTAATATGAATACTTTACAAACATATATTTAAATTAGGTTAGATTCCCCGGTTAAAACTAACATCGTGTCCTGGAGGAAAATAGCTACTTACGATTTGACAGCGCTTACCGCTTACGATCGCCATTTTGCTTACAAGCGCTTGCTAGCGCTTTTTTCTGCCAAACGCACCCTTTCTTTGCTTGAAATTAGCTGCAGTTTTAATGGTGTGCAGTAGCCACTTACCATTAGGTGGACTGAAGTTTGTTTACCACTTCAGTTTTATAAAAATGTAGAGTTCGAATTTGCCAATGCCCAATGCTGCCCATACATTTTGTGTGGTGGAAAGTCAGATTAATATTGATTCATTCATTACAGTCCATTGCCCAAAGTCCACCTCCCCTTACTCAAAGGGAAATATCTTACATTAACGCAAACCACAAGTATTTTGCAAGTTATTATTAGAAATGTGCTGTTGCCCATTGAACAATATGGGAATGTGGATATTCTTAAACCTGTACTACCTGATAAGTTTAGTAGGTTAAAATATTTTATTATATAATGCAATAAAATGTTGTAACAACAATTTTTGTACTTACTTTTATGCACCAAGCCTTTCCACCACAGCACCTATTATGCATGTCGCGGTCTGGTCGAGTAAGAACTAGACATTCTGGGTCTATCTGATACTGATTTTCCATTTCATCTTCATCTGAACTGTCATAGAACTCTCGTATCATTTAGCAAGTTCTTGAGTCTAAAATTGTCGCAAAATGCAGTTAACACTATCTCTCTTGTTTAATTATAGTACTAATAAAAATAGTTCAGTGTAGTCATAGTGACTGTCACGTTGATCTGTGGTTGTAGTAATGCGACTGCTGATCATGAGGTCCTGGGTTCGAATCCCGGGTCGGGCCAAAAAATTAATTATTGAGTTTTTCCGTCAAGACATTCTCAGTAATTGCCCGGAGTCAGGAAGTTGGCGGTGTCTCACCCCCGTGCCTCGGAAAGCACGTAAAGCTGTTGGTCCTGCGCCTGATCTCTCGCCGGTCGTGTTGGTTTACCGTCCCATCGGATTATGAAAGTGAGGGAATAGAAATTGCACCTGTGCTTGCGCCGATAGCTAGCCGCCGTGGCCGAAATTCGGTCTGGAGGACATTATTATTATTATTAATAATAAAAATAGTTTTAACCCCCTACGTTATTCCCTTAAGTCACAAACAAAAAAATGTTCAATTATCGAAAATCCACTTTAAACTCTATTTTTTGTATCACCTCTAAAACTATGTGTGATAATTTAAATATATAAAAAGTGATTATATTAAATATATAAATGAAAAACAATTGAAAATCGATTAATTTCACAATAAAGAATTATCACCAAATTACCACATCTTACTACCACCTTATATATATATTGCTTAAAAATAAAGCAATTTTGTTCAAATTTTTATACCTGTTATAATTTATAAAATATTTACTGTTTCAGATTTTTTTGTGAAATCAAAAACTATATAAGCTTTTAATTTCTTTCATATTAAATATAATCCAGATCACGCTCATTGCTATTTAAGTTTCATCATATCGAAGGTTAGCAAAAACAGACAAAGGTTTTAAAAATAGTTATTCAAGTCCTAAAGACAAATAACCCCTGAACTTAATTGAAGTTACAGACGGGCACTTTAATTTAAATTTATATGTGTATTTTATAGATCAAAATTCGCTAAAGCCAGTGAGTTTTTTACAGAGCAACAGCAGCAGAGATTCTTTTGAAACTACACAAAAATATGACAATGCAAAAAATCTCATTACAATGATATAACAAAACTAATAAAACAGAATAATTTCGCATAAGCATAAAATATTACATATTGTTAAAATTTAATAAATCTTTAACTGCTTTACACAAACAAACTATAAATAAACTAAAAAATTTGCTAAAAGTACAAGGGGTGATCTAAAAGTAATGATAATGAATATTAAACACAATGATTGAAGTTCAAAAATAATTTATTTTACTACAGTCTCCTAACAAGTGAATGCATTTAGTCCATCTTTTTTCTAAGCCCAGAATCCCCTTAGAAAAAATCTTGACCCTCCAAAAGAGCCTCAACTGCAAATTTTTTGCCCCGAAGGTGTTCCTAGAGCCGAGAAAATAGATAGAAGTCACTGGGAGCTAGATCTGGAGAATAGAGTGGGCGTTCGAGCAGTCAAATCCTGTTACTTGAATGGCAACCATTACAACTGCAGCTTTGTGAGCCGGAGCGTTGTCATAGTGAAAAGGCACTCCAGCTCACAGTTTACTGCATCTTTTTCCCTCAACAAACTCTCACAATCTTCTTATATGACCTGCGTAGTAAGACCCCAAAATAATGCCTCTTTTTCCTAAATATTCCACAATAATCATTCCTTCAGAGTCCCAAAAAACAGACACCATAATGTTTCCCTATGAACTTGATACTTTGAATTTCTTTGGGTGTCGGTGTGGAGGCTCATTTCCAAACCATTAATTGGTGTTTGGTTTCAGGATCAAAATGATGGACCTAGGTGTCGTCATGGTCACGAAACGCGACAAAAAAATTTCATGATCTGCTGGGAGCCTTTTGAGACTCACGCACAAAATGACAACTCATTTTTTCTTTCGCTCATGGTTAAAATTCATCATCTTTCATTTGGAATTCATTCACAAGGATTCTTTGAACACTGCCATATTAGATCCCTGTAACTACAGCTATATGCCTGATGGCCATTTTTTGATCTGTCAATACATCTTCAACATTAGACGATTTTTAACATTATATTCAAGTGAGCTATATTCAAGTGAGGAAGAATAATGTGATTATTCGAGCCATGAAATCTCCCCGAAGAAGTTCAACAGTCTTTTGATGTTGCAAGCAACTTCGGGGAGGGATCCCGGCATGCCGAGATGTTTAGCCCTGTATGAAGCGACCTCTGGACATGTCAGCAACACGTGAGCCGCCGTTTCTTCCTTCCCCATACATGCCCTGCAAAGGGGGTGTTTGTGAAAAGAGCCATGACCTGTTATAGCAATTGTTACTATCCTGATCTGTGGCTTGTTCAGCCTCATTAGCGCCTAGGTTAGGTGACTGCTTATTTCAGGCAGGGCATCCCTAGCTTGTCTATAGTCTACTAAATTTTTCCAAAGTTGAGCTTGTAAATTACTGAAGTTTCTACGTACCAGTGAACAAACATAGCTAAAGGGGATTGATATTATTGGTTCTGGCCATAGGGCCAGAGTGCACTATAGAGTGGTCAGAGCCGATCCCACTCTGGCCAGTTCAACTGCTGTATCATTGCTTCTAGATCCACTGTGTCCCTCAATGCATTGCAGTCACATTGTTGTGCTTACATTTCACCTCACATAATTTAATCCTTGATGGTATTCATATATTAGTCCCAACTTCACCACATTACAACTCAGAGCTTATAGTACTGCCATACTGTCGGTCAGTATTCTGATGGAGAAGTCTTTTACATTCCTATCATTTATTGCTATGGCCGCTTGGACATTACCCATACATCCAGCCTGGAAGGCTGTGTTATGGATACCCAATGGTGTGCATATATGGATATTTTAAAGGTCTTTAGAGAAAGTTCCAAATCTAACACCTTCATTTGTCTTAGAACCATCCATGAAAACTCTAAACTCTTTTGGGCTCAATCCCTCCGATTGGTCAGTTTCATTTAATTGTATCATATTCTTCTTAAGTTGCTGTGTAATATAATTATTAATTACTTTTGGATCATCCTTTGTAAGCTAGAGCATTAAAAATATTTACTAATTAACATGCCAGTAACCTAGGGAAATTGGTTTGTGCTTATTGGAGCCACACAGCTTTATTGTAGCTGTAGAATGAACAGGTTCTTTTTTCTATGCAACAACCATGATCTTACAGAATACTAAACTAAAATAGCAGCATAATGCTACCATATTGCAATGGCAATGAGGCATTCCAACTTAGTCCTCATAGATGATAATGCATCAGTAAATGAAATTGTCATCAAGTTGAGAGTAGCTACCACAAATATGATAACTGGAAAATTGTTCACCATACTTGAAGCAATAGTGCATTATATAAATAATTTTTGGTAAAAAATTATGAATAACACTTCTTCCTTTAACCATGATATTCAAAGTTGTAAAATTGTGCACTGCAACTTTAATCACTGCTAACAATAAAACATTGAAAACATTTATTATTAGAACTTGAGAAGCCTAATTTACGCCCAGCCTTGATTGCACTCTATTATTGTTTTTTTTATGAAACAGGTTAGATACGTACATTAACTCAAATAAATAGACGCGTTAAAACTTAAAAATGTAAAAAAAATCACAGTAAAGACAAACATATGTACATAATAATTAACATATATAATTTTATACATAAAAAGCAATATTTTAAAGAATGTTAAGACATTGTTGTACCCACCTGAGGAATTCTTGAAAAATTTAGGTAGCCAACCTAATTTGAGGGTCAGGGTCGCGATGAAACAAAGCGTTTTACAAATTTCATATTAACGCTATTTAATGCAATGAGGTATGCACATCTCCTAAAACAACGTTGAAGTCAATTCTATTTAACACATTTGTTTCATTTCAAACTTATTCATTCAAAATCAATAAAACCTTAAAAGTCCCTCCTCCCACAGATTATATTTAAAACTTGAATCAAAGAGTAATATATATTATACGGAAAACTTAAATTAAATCGCTCGCCAGAGTTGCCAGGCAAATGTTCCGAAGGAATGAAGGAACCGTGCGACCTAACGGAAAAACCGCAAACTAATAGAAAAAACCGCCCAATATATTGGAATTCAAATACCCTTTAAATAACTTTTTTTCAATAGGTTATTAGAAAATATTAATGACAAATATCTATAATCAGAGGGAGACAGGCAGGAGATGGACAGCAGCATCTTCCCGATAAACAGTGATATAATAAAAAAAACTGCTGTTGCCAACCCGCTCGCCAAGCGTGGCAACTATGGCAAATATCCCACCATGAATAATGACGCAAACAAACGGCCCCCAGTCCCCGGCGGCCCCGCTATTCTTGGTTAGGGTGGTGACCATGGTAGCGGCGGGGCAGGGGGTGCTAAGAATCTCCGGTGGAGGTTCGGTTGCCACCTACGACGACTCGACCTGCAGCTGGTCGAATTTATGGAGAAAAAGGGACTCTTTATGATGAACTCTTTCTTCCAGAAGCGGCCCCACAGAAAGTGGACCTGGTCGAGCCTCGACGGTTTGACAAAAAATGAGCTTGACTTCATTATGACGACCAGACGCCACACCTGTTCAGTGATGTCTCAGTGATCGCAAGGGTGAAAACTGTCAGCGATCACCGAATGGTTAGAGGCACACTGAACCTAAACGTTAAGTTGGAGAGGTCTCGTCTAATGAAGTCAACGCTCCGTCCCCCCTCCTGCTCTAATCCAGAATCCCGAAACCTTTCAGCTCGAGTTACGCAACCGCTTTCAGTGCCTAGAAGATTGCAATGCAGTGGACGATATGAACGACAAGCTCGTGGAAACTGTCCATGCGGTAGGAGCTAAGTCCTGCAAGACCCGCCGCAGAAGAACACAAAAACTCTCCGATCACACTCTTAATCTCATGGCTGTTAGACGGGAGATGAGGCACCAATCGTCAACAGATTTGACAGCATACAGGCAACTGAACAGA